TATTCGTCATCATTGAGTAAACTTTGACCCTGTACCTCACAGTCAGCAGACACATTCCAGCCAATTAGCAGTACACCCTCCCTAGCAGACCCTCCCACCTACTGGAAGGCATCCATTTTACATTCATTCTCAAGCTGCATGCTTAGTGAGAGGAGGGAAAGTGTAGCTGCTGTTGATTAGATAGGGAAATGCATAGCTAGGTTAGGGTTAGGGTATGCTTTTATTTTTTATTTTTTTTTCTATGTAATGTAATTGCAGTTAGTTGTCTGCCACTGCTGCCAGCTTCTGTGTCAGGCTCACAGTGGATACTGTGCCCATTTCCACAGTCAGTGCCACCACTTATATCTGGTGTCACAATAGCTTGCATTTAAAAACAAAAAAACTTTTTTCACTGTTATATATTGAATAGCAGTCAGTGTCCTTAAAGCGGGTGTGTTACGCTAACAGTGGATACAGTGCCCAGTGCCACCACTCACTGGTGTCACAATAGATTGCATTTAAAAACAAAAAACTTTTTTCACTGTTATAGATTGAATAGCAGTCAGTGTCCTTAAAGCGGGTGTGTTACGCTAACAGTGGATATGGTGCCCAGTGCCACCACTCACTGGTGTCACAATAGCTTGCATTTAAAAACAAAAAACTTTTTTCACTGTTATAGATTGAATAACAGTCAGTGTCCTTAAAGCGGTGTGTTAAGCTCACAGTGGATACAGTGCCCAGTGCCACCACTCACTGGTGTCACAATAGCTTGCATTTAAAAACAAAAAACTTTTTTCACTGTTATAGATTGAATAGCAGTCAGTGTCCTTAAAGCGGGTGTGTTACGCTAACAGTGGATAAGGTGCCCAGTGCCACCACTCACTGGTGTCACAAAAGATTGCATTTAAAAACAAAAAACTTTTTTCACTGTTATAGATTGAATAGCAGTCAGTGTCCTTAAAGCGGGTGTTACGCTAACAGTGGATACGGTGACCATTGCCACCACTTAGATCTGGTGACACAAAGCTTGGATTTAAAAACAAAAAACTTTTTTCACTGTTATAGATTGAATAGCAGTCAGTGTCCTTAAAGCGGGTGTGTTAAGCTCACAGTGGATACGGTGCCCTGTGCCACCACTCACTCATATCTGGTGTCACAATAGCTTGACCGCGCAGTGCCCCAAATTTAATGTGATCTGTGAGTAAGGTAAACGGTTGTCCATACAAGTAGGTTGCAGCTTTTTGAGGGCCCACACCACCGCCATGCACTCCTTTTCAATGGCAGTGTATCTACTTCCCTGGGCAAAAGTTTACGGCTTAGATAAGCCCCGGGTTGCTCGACACCATCTGCTCCGACTTGGCTCAGTATTGCTCCCAATCCAAACATAGAAGCGTCTGTATGGACGAGAAAATGTTTAGTTGGATCAGGAGCAGAAAGTACAGGTGATTTAATGAGCGCCGTCTTGAGCTGTTGGAAGGCCTGTTCACACTCTGGGGCCCATACTACTATCTTGGGGAGGTTTTTACGCGTTCCTATATGGCACTTACTGGGCTTTAGGGTCAGTCCAGACTCCCTAATCCGGTCTAGTACGGCTCCTATGTGGGTCAGGTGTTCGGGCCAGGAGCAGCTAAAAATGGCTATACCATCCAAGTAGGCACAGGCATACTCCTGAAATCCATCCAGTAGCCGATCTACCATCCTCTGAAAGTTAGCAGGGGCATTCTTCATCCCGAATGGCATGACCTTAAACTGATACAGGCCAAACAAGGTGACAAATGCCGACTTGTGGATGGCGTTCTCGGCTAATGGAATTTGCCAGTACCCCTTGCACAGATCTATTGTGGTGAGGTACTGGCCTCTGGCCATTTTGTCTAGGAGCTCGTCTATCCGGGGCATAGGATAGGCGTCTGAGGTTTTTCACATGGAGCATGCACTTGCCTCCCGTGCCTGTGACCGCACCGATCACAAAGGTGGTATCACAAACCTGCTCTACCACCTTGTATGGGCCCTGCCAGGAAGTCTGCAGCTTGTCCCTGTGGACAGTGTCAATCCATATCTGCCAAGTGACTCGATGTAGGAGGAACAGTCCCTATTCTGCTCTGTGTCAGTGTGTATCAGGGATCCTTAGGACATGTGTCAATCCATATCTTCCAAGTGACCCGATGTAGGAGGAACAGTCCCTATTCTGCTCTGTGTCAGTGTGTATCAGGGATCCTTAGGACAGGTGTCAATCCATATCTGCCAAGTGACCCTATGTGGGAGGAACAGTCCCTATTCTATTATGTGTCAGTGTGTATCAGGGATCCCTAGGACAGGTGTCAATCCATATCTGCCAAGTGACCCTATGTAGGAGGAACAGTCCCTATTCTGCTCTGTGTCCGTGTGCATCAGGGGCTCTGAGGACAGGTGTCAATCCATATGTCAAGGTGTCAATATGTCATATGTCAGGTGTCAATCCATATTCATTGTGACTTAGGAATGTTAGGTGATTTCTGCCCTTTATGGATTAAGACCAGACTCTGCATCAACTGTGTAATTTTCCATGGGAGTTTTGCCATGGATCCCCCTCCGGCATGCCACAGTCCAGGTGTTTCCCCTTGAAACAACTTTTCCATCCCTATTATGGCCAGAAAGAGTCCCTGTGTGTTTTAAAATTCGCCTGCCCATTGAAGTCTATGGCGGTTCGCCCGGTTCGCGAACATTTGCGGAAGTTCGCGTTTGCCGTTCGCGAACCGAAAATTTCGTGTTCGCGACATCACTAATAACAGGTAAAGGTCCAACAGTAAAATGTATATTGAACTCAACCTGCAACAATGTACCTCATAAATATCTTAAATCAAATAGTAAATACAAAATAGATAGAGAGAGAAACAGGTTGAGTATAAGAAAAAGAAATATTCCCTCTCACCCTCATAAACTAACTAGACAGGAAAGGCAGAGATACGGTGAGGGAAAAAAAATATTTGATCCCCTGCTGATTTTGAATGTTTGCCCACTGACAAAGAAATGATGAGTCTATAATTGTAATGGTAGGTGTATTTTAACAGTGAGAGACAGAATAACAACAACAACAACAACAACAACAAAAAATCCAGAAAAATGCATGTCAAAAAAGTTATTAATTGATTTGAGTGAAATAAATATTTGATCCCCTATCAATCAGTAAGATTTCTGGCTCCCAGGTGTCTTTTATACAGGTAACAAGCTGAGATAAGGAGCACTCTCTTAAAGGGAGTGCTCCTAATCTCAGCTCGATACCTGTTTAAAAGACACCTGTCCGCAGAAGCAATCAATCAGATTCCAAACTCTCCACCATGGCCAAAACCAAAGAGTTATCCAAGGGTGTCAGGGACAAGATTGTGGACCTACACAAGGTTGGAATGGGCTACAAGACTATTGACCATCAGCTTGGTGAGAAGGTGACAACAGTTGGTGTGATTATTCGCAAATGGAAGAAACACAAAATAACTGTCAGTCTCTCTCGGTCTGGTGCTCCATGGAAGATCTCACCTAGTGGAGTTTCAATGATCATGAGACCACTGAGGAATCAGCCCTGAACTGGAGGTTCTTGTTAATGATCTGAAGACATTGTTTTTTTCACCAGGAAAACAATTGGTAACACACTACTCCGTGAAGGACTGAAATCCTGCAGCGCCCGCAAGGTCTCCCTGTTCAAGAAAGCACATGTACAGGCCCGTCTGAAGTTTGCCAGTGAACATCTGAATGATTCAGAGGAGAACTGTGTGAAAGTGTTGTGGTCAGATGAGACCAAAATCAAGCTCTTTGGCATCAACTCAACTCGCCGTGTTTGGAGAAGGAGGAATGCTGCCTATGACCCCCAAGAACAACATCCCCACCATCAAACATGGAGGGGGAAACATTATATTTTGGGGGTGTTTTTCTGCTAAGGGGACATGACAACTGCACCGCATGAAAGACGATGGATGGGGCTATGTACCATCAAATCTTGGGTGAGAACCTTCCTCCCTTAGCCAGGGTTGTGGATGAGTATTCCAGCATGACAATGACCCAAAACACACAGCGAAGGCATCAAAGGAGTGGCTCAAGAAGAAGCACATTAAGGTTCTGGAGTGGCCTAGTTAATCTCCAGAATTTAATTCCATAGAAAATCTGTGGAGGGAGCTTAAGGTTTGAGTTGCCAAACATCTGCCTCTAAACCTTAATGACTTGGAGAGGATCTGCAAAGATGAGTGGGACAAAATCTCTCCTGAGATGTGTGCAAACCTGATGGCCAACTACAAGAAACGTCTGACCTCGGATTGCCAATAAGGGTTTTGTCAAAAAAGTACTAAGTTGAAGGGGTCAAATACTTATTTCACTCATTGACATGCAAATCAATGTATAACTTTTTTGACATGCATTTTTCTGTTTTTTTTTTTTTGTTATTCTGTCTCACTGTTAAAATACACCTACCATTAAAATTATAGACCAATAATTTCTTTGTCAGTGGGCAAACGTTCAAAATCCACAGGGGATTAAATACTTTTTTCCCTCAATGTTGTAATAGCTTATAATTTATTATAAAAAGTAAACCAAGTGCATAGTGTGTAGATAAAAAATGCACTGTGCTTAGTTAGTGAACATACAGATGATGAAAGTGCCCAATGTGCATTTTGGTGCACACAAAGATGCACCTTCATCATCACATCGCTGTTGATCAATATCTTTTACCACAGAATAAAGAATTCTTTACTTCCCTCATAAATGGTGAAAATTATACAAACATTTACTTACACCACAGTTGAAGATGCATCGAGAAAGCAGACACCTGTTAGCTATTAAAGGACCACTATAGTGCCAGAAAAACACTCGTTTTCCTGACACTATAGTGCCCTGAGGGTGCCCCCACCCTCAGGGTCCCCCTCCCGCCAGGCTGGATGGAGAGGAAAGGATTAAATCTTACCTTTTTTCTAGCGCCGGGCGGGGAGCTCTCCTCCTCCTCTTTGGCTGAATGCGCATGCGCGGCAGGAGCTGCGCGCGCATTCAGCCAGTCCATAGGAAAGCATTCACAATGCAGACCCTCCCTCCCAGACCCTCCCACTTCTTGGACAGCTCACTAAGAATGCAGCTTCACAATGGATGCTGTCCAGGAGGTGGGAGGGTCTGGGAGGGAGGGTCTGCTGCTGATTGGCTGGAATGTGTCTGCTGACTGTGAGGTACAGGGTCAAAGTTTACTCAATGATGACGAATAGGGGGTGGATCGAAACGCGCATATGTTCTCCCGCCGTGGCGAACGCGAACATGCTATGTTCGCCTGGAACCGTTCGCCAGCGAACCGTTCGGTACATCACTACCTGTTATTACTCTCTATAGGGCAAGAGTTACTGTCTAGTGTACATGCTACATACATACTATATTCAATGTGGTCTTTTGCTACGTCCTCACTTTTCTTATGATGAGTCCGTGGCGAACAGTTCGGGACATCACTAGTGGTAATGGATGAAATTCTGGTAAGTATTCCAAACTACCATTGCATCTTAGATAACATACTTATCACTGGTGAAAATGATGCCTCTCATAAAGTGAATGTTGAAAATGGTTTACAAATTCTATAGGAATTCAATCTGAAAGTAAACATACAGAAGTAAAAGTTCTCACGTGATAGTTTGGAGTATTGTGCATATATCATGAACAAGACTGGGTTCCACATGACTGTGACAAATGTGATAGTGTTAATTCATGCTCCCACTCTGATCAACAAATCCCAGATACATTCTTATTTGGATGAATACAAACTCCAAGAGGAATGGGAATATGGTATTGAAAAATGGTACAACTTGAAAACAAGGAAAAGGAACAGATACTACAAATAAAGGGGCAAAGTATAAATAAACTCAGACTTGCCTCCCCAACTGTGGTATATCTGCTTCAGTGTATACTTAAATCCTTAGCCTCCTCTAGATGTATATAACAGTAAAACAGTAGAATAGCAAAATATGGTATTAAAAAGTATAGTTTAATGGATAAATGCACTTACAAAGATATGAATAACACAGGCATATCTCTAGTGCAAATGGACCACATCAGAAGGAGGGAATATCTATGCAAGTAGAATCCACCACAACAGTAGATACCCAAGTAATGATAAAAACAATCAGATAAATAAAAGGAAAAACAAAAACAAATAGCAGCCACAAAATTTGAAAAGCAATCCAACACATTTCATCCGGTCGGGATGTCATCAGGGATACGATGGTCTTGGAGGCTCTTGTTGTTTATATAGGAAAATCATGAAATCATTTTCACGCTAAAAATTCGTTGGTGGTATTTCTAGAAATTCGTTGGTGGTATTTCTAGAAAGCACAATGACCCTTTGGCTCTGTCAATCCCTGACATTTGTGTCTGCGAGTTGGGAGTGCCTCTTCATGGGGAATGCATCATATACGTCATTGGCATCTGACATATATGAGAAGTCCATACAGCTTGGAAGTACTGATCATAAAAACATAGGAGCGTTATATACATGAGTAGCATACATGAGTTGAAACACAATCAAATATACATAAAGACAGAGTGATCTCAAGGATGAAGTGTCCAAAACTCCCAAACAGGAAAAGTATCAAATGAAAATATAAACACAAAAAAAGAAAAAGAAAGTGAAAATTATAATTAAAAATAAATAAGTAAATACATGTAAAAAAATGTTTAATTAAAAATAAATTTTTAGAAATAAAAATATGATGAGAAAGTATTCAAGAAGAGTTAAGAAGAAAGATAGGAAAGAACTTGAAAACTATACAAGAGAGCCCTGTACTAAAAGCAGGACCTTATCCAACACCAGAGTTTTTTTTAACCCCGTAAGGACTGAGTCAATTGTACATTACCTGGAATTTGCGCTATAAGTCTGATCAACCATAATTCACCTCTTTCATATTAAGTGCACCTACACTTATTATATAGCATTTTGTTCAGGAGAAAAAGGACTTTCATTTCATATCAAATATTTATATATGAAACATCATTTTTTTTTTATTATTATTATATTCTTTCTTTATTTAACACTAAAAACAACAAAAAAGAACTCATTATACATTATACAATCTTTAACATGCATTTAACAGCAATATTACCTAAAAGATTGCATTTAAGCTCTAATATCACCATTTTGAGTTATTCATCAATACAAATTTTTACACACACAAAAAAAAAAGAAAAAAAACATTTAATACACTCTCCCCCCCTCTGCCTCTCTATCTACCTATACCCTTCCTATTCGCATAAACCTTCCAGGGTTCCCAGACCTTACCAAACATATAATAAGAATGTCTTACTCTAGATGATAATTCATCCATTATATAATTTTCTTGAATCTTTAATTCCACCTCTCTCATTGATGGTAAATCCAGATTTATCCAGCTAGCGGCTATACATCTATGTGCGGCCAATAAAATTAAAAATATTAATTTCTGCGAATGGCAGGGTATACCTGCTATTGATTTCGATAGCAAAAATATCCAAGGATTGAGTTCTATATTTCCCTGTATTATCACTTGAATTAGCTCCCTTATTTCCTCCCAATAGCTTTTAATCTTTGGGCAATCCCACCACATGTGTAAATATGTCCCTTGTAAACCACATCCCCTCCAACAAAGATCCGTCAGATTTTTACCTATTTTGTACAAAAAAACAGGGGTCACATGCCACCTAAATAATATCTTAAACATTTGTTCCTGCGAGATTACACAAATCGATATTTTGGATGCTGTTTCCCAGATATCTATCCAATCCTTAGTTCCCAAAGAAGAACCTAAATCTGCCTCCCAGTAGGATATATACTTTAATGGAGCCCAAACCGTAGGTTCCTCACTTAGTTGATTATACAAATCAGAGATAAGACCTCCCTTATTTTGCACATTTTTTCAAAATTAGTGAAGGGGAATTTAACTGCCGTTTTTACCTCCATTGAATACGCAAAATCTCTAATCTGCAAATAACGAAAAAAATCTCCTGTCCTCAGTTCTACTCTGGTCAACAAACTAGAAAATAAAACTACCTCTCCTTCTGACCAAAGATCTACATATCTATAGATTCCTCCTGCCTTTAAGCCTTGAAAATTGGTATCTTCCATACCAGGAATAAATTGTCTATTCCGAAAAACAGGGGTCATGGGTGAAGGGAAATTAGTTAGACCATATTTTAACTTAAGTTTATCCCAAATGTGGAGGGAGTTTGCCGTAGAAGGGCATATTTGTTTCAACCCTGGTCTTGAAACCTTATTCAACCACATATACAACCCTGGCGAGTCTGGTGTCATTAAATCTTCCTCCATATCAGCCCATCTGTATTTCCCTTGATTTGCATGCCAACCAACAATTTGAGCCAATTTGGCTGCGTAATAATAAATAATTAAATTGGGGAGACCTAGTCCCCCTTTAACTCTCGGTCTATACAAGAGAGTTCTAGCTATCCTATGTCGCTTGCCCTGCCAAATAAATGTGTCTATAGCTTTCTGAATACCCAATAAGTCCTCTTTACAGACCTTTATAGGCAATGCTTGAAATAGAAATAAAAGCCTCGGTAAAATATTCATTTTTATAGAATGAATTCTGCCAATCCATGAAATTGGCTTATCATGCCAATTCTCTAGGTCCTTTTTCAAAGTCTTAATCAAAGGTACATAGTTGTCATTAAATAATGTATTATAATCGTATCCAATTTTAACACCCAAATAGCTTAGAGATTTATCTATACTCATATCAAATTTAGTTTTTAGCTGGTCTTGTTCTATCTCAGATAAATGAAAAGGCACTCCACACGATTTATTATAATTTACCTTATAGCCTGAAATGGCTCCAAATTGTTCTATCAACTTAAACAATTCAGGGATAGATTCAGAAGGGTTTGCTATAGAGATTAAAATATCATCAGCATAAGCCGCTGTTTTATAAATCTCCCTCCCTATTTGAATACCCTGTATATTGCCACTTCCCCTGATATGGATCAGAAGGGGTTCCAATATAAATGCAAACAAAATAGGAGAGAGAGGGCATCCTTGATGTGTGCCATTGTATATTCCAAACGGAGTATTAACTGAGCCAGGGAGCTGTATTGTTGCTTGGGGATTTGAATATAATGCACGGATTATAGTAATGCAATTGACTGGAAAGCCCCAATATTGAAGCAAATAAAATATATAAGGCCAGGCGACCCTATCAAATGCCTTTTCTGCATCTAATGATAAAAGTATCGATGGTGTCTTCCCTACTGCCATAACCCAAGCAACATTAACTGCTCTACGTGTATTCTCATACAGCTGTCTACCTGGAACGAAACCTACCTGATCTGGATGAATCAGAAAAGGAAGTAGGGGAGAGAATCTCAGGGCAAGGACTTTAGCTTTTATTTTTATATCAACATTTATTAATGATATAGGCCTATAATTTCCCACTGAAGAAGGGTCCTTATCTTTTTTTGGTAAAAGAACAATTTTAGCCATTGTAAGGTCGGCTGGAAGAACTCCGCTTTGACAAATTTCATGACCTCTTGTAAATATGGCATAAGAGTGTGTTGAAATATTTTATAATAACTACTACTAAAGCCATCTGGCCCTGGTGCTTTACCCCCCTTAATAGAAAAGCATGCCGCTTTAATTTCCTCTAAAGATATTTTGGTCCCTAATCCTCACTATTGTATACTCACTTTGCTCTTACAAAGAAATGAATTCAATACACTGTAGCTTATTTGGTCCCTAATCCTCACTATTGTATACTCACTTTGCTCTTACAAAGAAATGAATTCAATACACTGTAGCTTATGTTTAGCACTAGTACTATTTAATTTATCTCCCACATTTTTGTTATTAGTGTAGGACCCACTGATATTGGGGTACTTTGAAGTAGTAGTGGGCTTAACATCATATGGCCATATGGTGGAACTAAATCCCCATATTTATTCTTAGATAGGCGTTAGCCTTCTTAGTTATTAATTTACAAGTCTGAGTGCGCCGTAACTAGTTTTTCTGTATGAATTTTGGTCACTGCGGCAGCACCTTTCATGTATACGGGTGTGCCCCCAATCTCTCCTTTGTGCAATTATATTTGGAATCCAGACCAGATTCCTTTGGGGTTAAGCACCCCGCCCAGGCCCCCCAGCTTCAGAGACCTCTTTAGAGGTGGCCACAGGTGTGTATAA